AAGGTTTTAGTAGAGCTTAAACAAGTAATTTCAAACTGTGTTTAAGGTTTTAGTAGAGCTTAAACAAGTAATTTCAAACTGTATGTTTAAAGTTTTAGTAGTGCTGAAACAAGTAATTTCAAACTGTATGTTTAACGTTTTAGTAGTGCTGAAACAAGTAATTTCAAACTGTATGTTTAAAATTTTAGTAGTGCTGAAACAAGTAATTTCAAACTGTGTGTTTAAGGTTTTAGTAGAGCTTAAACAAGTAATTTCAAACTTTGTTTAAGATTTTAGTAGTGCTGAAACAAGTAATTTCAAACTGTGTGTTTAAAGTTTTAGTAGAGCTTAAACAAGTAATTTCAAACTGTGTGTTTAAGGTTTTAATAGAGCTTAAACAAGTAATTTCAAACTGTGTTTAAGATTTTAGTAGAACTGAATCAATTAAGTTCAAACTCTGTTTTTAAGGTTCTAGTAGAGCTTAAACAAGTAGGTTCAAACTGGATATCCTTTTTGTTGTGATTTTTGATCGGAATCAAATATAATGTCGCATTATCATGCATATACTAGTAAGTTTCAGAAAGCCCTACTTGAATACTCTCATTCCTTCATTAAACAAGAATTTCTTTTCCACTGCACAAAAGTAAAATAAAGGATAACTGGATATTATAATAATCTGGACACGGCAAAGAAAAAAAAATATTAAATAATAGCAGTCACAACCTCGACATTGCGCTGACACAATATCCAGTTGTGGCTGCGAACATTTAATTCAGCACCGGAAAAGGTACTCTACAATTACAGCATGCCAGAAAGAAGCGACAGAAAGTGGTTACCCGCTTGTGTTGTGCATGATTATCTAATTTTTTGGGTGTCCAAGCAACCATAACATTGGTTTACTATGGACACTTTGAAGTTTGTAGTCAAATCGTCTAAACAGTTTGGTGTGTTTGGACTTACATATGTCAATCGGCTTTCTACGTGAATGAAACTTCCAAACGTCGTCTTTTAGGCCTAACCATTGTTTACGAACAGTTTGGAGCAATTTTAAACGTTGTGAATTAACCCAAAGTGACAAATCAGATAGACTATGTGAGACCACTATATATATATAATCTGAAAAACTAGTCGTGATTTCATAAAACGAAAAGATGGGCTCATTGGCATTAATTCATAGAGTGGTGTTGCCTTGTCACAGCTATAAATGTTACAAATTACAATTATCTTTTGATTGTTCTTTATAAAAACACTAATTCACATTTAGAAATCATACTATAATAACCCTTAAACCTTCATAAAAACACTAATTTACTTTTAGAAATCATACTATAATAACCCTTAAACCTTCATAAAAACACTAATTTACTTTTAGAAATCCTAATAGAATAATATTTGCATCATTCTAACGAGTAAAGGTTATTAAAAATAAAAAACTGTTGTTAAAAAAATATTCACTCAGAAAATTTCTAAAACAATATTCGATTGTCATTAGCATTTTTTGAGAAAGATTTTTTTTACGCTTAGGTACAATGTAAATTTTATATCTCTGAAACACAAACATCGTTAGAAATAGCTGAATGTTTAACCTGTAGTTGGAAAGAAAAGCATGTTTTCACCAGAAACACATGCCCTAACTTTAAAACCGATTTATCAGACAACATTTATTCACGTTTGCGCGTTAAGCATGAAAGATAACAAAACAGGCTAATCATTTTAAACTAAACCACTGTCACGACTGCAGAGATAAATCGCTGTTTCCCTTACAGTGGTTTCTTTGATTTTTTCCCTTTCAAAAACAGAACAGTTAATTGGACAAAAGAACCAAACTTTTTAATACATATAAAGTCTATGAAGATTTTTAAAAACGACCATCATTAATATATTTATCAAATCTGATCGTCATTAGAATGTTTAACGAGACCAGATATCATAAGTATGTTTATTAAAGTTGATCATCATTAGGGTGTTTATTAAGACTGATCTTCATTAGGATGTTTATTAAGATTGAACATCATTAGGATGTTGATTAAAATTGATCTTCATTAGGATGTTTATTAAGGTTGATCATCATTAGGATGTTTATTAAGATTGAACATCATTAGGATGTTTATTAAGGTTGATCATCATTAGAATGTTTATTAAGGTTGATATTCATTAGGATGTTTATTAAGATTGAACATCATTAGGATGTTTATTAAGATTGAACATCATTAGGATGTTTATTAAGATTGATCTTCATTAGGATGTTTGTTAAGATTGATCTTCATTAGGATGTTTATTAAGGTTGATCATCATTAGGATGTTTATTAAGGTTGATCTTCATTAGGATGTTTATTAAGATTGAACATCATTAGGATGTTTATTAAGTTGATCATCATTAGGATGTTTATTAAGATTGATCTTCATTAGGATGTTTGTTAAGATTGATCTTCTTTAGGATGTTTGTTAAGTTGATCATCATTAGGATGTTTATTAAGGTTGATCTTCATTAGGATGTTTATTAAGATTGAACATCATTAGGATGTTTATTAAAGTTGATCATCATTAGGATGTTTATTAAGATTGAACATCATTAGGATGTTTATTAAAGTTGATCATCATTAGGATGTTTATTAAGATTGAACATCATTAGGATGTTTATTAAGATTGATCTTCATTAGGATGTTTGTTAAGATTGAACATCATTAGGATGTTTATTAAAGTTGATCATCATTTTTAACATCTCACCTCTCCCCCTTTCTTTGTTTAGCTGTTAATTTTTGTTTGCAGATGTTCTGTTCTTAATTTTCCTCATAATATCTCACTAAAGAGTCGATATCTTCAACAGTGGCTGCTTTATTCACATTTTATATTGCTTGTCCCGCGGAAATGTTCTTTTACTGAAAGCTTACAATGGTCGAATAAACATTTACTTACCTTGGAACGATGCTGTTAGTCACGCAGACGATTCTCCCACAGATGCACGTGAGACGAACTTTGTCTGTGTTAGGGATAATTGTAAACACTTTAACATCAGTAGCAATTCGTCTTTACCTGATCTCACTTATATATATAGTGCGTAGACGTAAACCGGAAGATGCGCGGAATACAGTACAAATTTTCGTTCTTCCTTTCCCCCTCTTGTAGTGGTTTAACATTTAACAACGTTCATATCAAGTCTAATTTACCTTTGGAAGCTCTTTTAGCCACTTTCCTAAGCTAGTATGAGCATGCGCAGATATTTACTGTCAAACCTGCATCATCTAGATATTTCAAAAATATTCTTGGTGAATGATATTTTCATTATAAGCAAAAAAAAAAAGATAACAAAAGAAAAACAATTGTTATGTTGCGAATGCATTTTAAGCTGTTGTAACAAATGACTTACGTAAATATCGTTACGACGGCTAATGTGTTTGTTGCCTGAAGAACTCTGCACTGAACAAAACGCGTCTCGACAATGGATATGACGTGCATATTCTTATTCTTGAAAAATCCTAATGGACTGAATAGATATTACAGTATTAAAATGTATATGAAGCTTAATACTAATGTCTCATGACAGATATAATTTTAACAAAAAAAAAGAGTCATTGTTGTTAATTAATTCTTTTTTTTTACAGTTCACGATTATTAAAGATGTGAAAGATGCATTCAGATTTATACGCCAAATGATAAAGTTAGTGATTTCACAACATAAGACTGAAATGTAGAAAGAATCAGTGATAAGAAGTTTACTGTCGCAATTTTGATTTGGCTCCATCTGGTTGTCATTAAACGAAATAACAAATTATGAACGAACATACAGATCATTAAGTTTGAAGCCACTTGAAGGTTAGTCTTAAAATAATTTGGGTAATAAATCTGCTCAATTGTTCAAAACTATGTTTCGGGTTTCCAAATGGGTTGCTCTTTTCCTAGACCTCTTTCTTATACAATCTAATGTTTCCAGTTGTGTTTCTCTATTGTTTTAGACCTTTCTTTGTTACAATCTAACGTTTCCTATTGTGGTTCTATTTCTATTAAATTTTCCTTTGCTACAATCTAATGTTTCCAATTGTGTTTCTCTATTGTTTTAGACCTTTCTTTGTTACAATCTAATGTTTCCAGTTGTGTTTCTCTATTGTTTTAGACCTTTCTTTGTTACAATCTAACGTTTCCCATTGTGTTTCTCTATTGTTTTAGACCTTTCTTTGTTACAATCTAACGTTTCCCATTGTGTTTCTCGTGTTTTTTCCTAGACCTTTCTCTGCAACAATCTAATGTTTCCTATTGTGTTTCTCTTTTTTAGACCTTTCTCTGCTACAATCTTACGTTTCCTATTGTGTTTCTCTTTTTTAGACCTTTCTCTTAGCACTACTCTAACAACACAATAGTTTATAGAGCACTACTCTAACAACACAATAATTTATAGGACATTACTCTAACAACAATATAGTTTATAGGGTATTATAGGACATTACTCTAACAACAATATAGTTTATAGGGTATTATAGGACACTACTGTAACAAAACAATAGTTTATAGGACACTACTGTAACAAGAAAACAGTTTATATGATTCTACTGTAACAAGAGGACGATTTATAGGGCACCACTGTAACAAGAAAACAGTTTATATGATTCTACTGTAACAAGAGGACAGTTTAGGGAACACTAATGTAACAAGGAATAGTTTAGAGGAACTAATGTAACAAGAGTACAGTTTAGGGGACACTAAATTGTGTGTGTTTATAAACACAATCATCTCCTTTTACATGGAAGTTGTTTACACCAGTTATTTTTCTGTTAAGTTAAAAGAATAATAATAATAAAAACTGAAATGTTGCTATATGTTAGGTTAGAGTTAGCCTTAAGACTGAGTTACGTGCTTGACAGACTTTTCTTTAAACTGGATACTCTTTTAAACAGGTGCTGTGCCATCTCAATTTGTACATACGTTAACAATTGTCTATCTGTCGATAACTAATAACGAGTTACCTTCGAAAATACATTATTCAAAACAAAGCAACTGCAATAAAAAATAATTTGATATTATAAAATAACAAGGTACACATTCTAAGCTTTTATGGGTAAAAAGCGTACTCTTTTCTTTCCTAGTTGCCTAGTGGGCAGAGTACAGATAGCCCATTCTGTAACTTTGTGCTTAACTTCAAACAACCAACCTTTCCTAGTTCAAAATTGGAAACGTGCGACACCTATGTGTAGCTAGTGAACATGAACTCCGCTGTTCTGAACTTTTAAGGATGAAGAAAATTATTTTTCAGTTAAATGATTCGGGCGTAACCGTCAGGACTATCCAAACTAAGAAAAATTTTTTATATATATCACATGGACACTTGAACATCTCTTTGGAATTCTGATGTTTAAATATGTTCAAAAAAGTGCCAAAAAACACAATTGGAAACATTAGATTGTAGCAGAAAAAGGTCTGAAAAAGAGAAACACAATAGGAAACGTAAAATTGTAGTAGAGAAAGGTCTAAAAAAGAGAAACACAATAGGAAACGTTAGATTGTAGCAGAGAAAGGTCTAAAAAAGAGAAACACAATAGGAAACATTAGATTGTAGCCCTATAAACTATTTTTGTTGTTAGAGTAGTGTCCTATAAACTGTCCTCTTGTTACAATGGCCTATAGATTATTTTCTTGTTACAGTAGTGTCCTATAAACTATGGTGTTGTTACAGTAGAGTCCTACAAACTATTTTATTGTTAGAGTAGTGTCATATAAACTATTGTGTTGTTACAGTAGAGTCCTACAAACTATTTTGTTGTTAGAGTAATATCCTATAAACTATTTTCTTGTTACAGTAGTGTCCCCTAAACTGTCCTCTTGTTACATTATTGTCCCCTAAACTGTCCTCTTGTTACATTATTGCTCCTAAGCTGTTCTCTTGTTACAGTAGTGTCCCCTAAGCTATTCTCTTACTACAATAGTGTCCTATAAACTATTTTGTTGTTAGAGTAGTGTCGTATAAACTGTCCTCTTGTTACAATGCTCTATAAACTATTTTCTTGTTACAGTAGTGTCCTATAAACTATTTTGTTGTTAGAGTAGTGTCCTATAAACTGTCCTCTTGTTACAATGCTCTATAAACTATTTTCTTGTTACAGTAGTGTCCTATAAACTATTTTCTTGTTAGAGTAGTGTCTTATAAACTGTCCTCTTGTTACAGTAGTGTCCTATAAACTTTTTGTTGTGACAGTAGTATCATCTAAGCCAGTGATTCTCAACCAGGGGTAAATATACCCCTTGGGGGTAAAAAATTACATAACAGGGGGTAAATAATTGATGTACCTGATGATTGAATAATAATTTAATTAAATTTCATTTTGTAAAATGTGTGTGTGAGAGAGAGAATAATAAGAATGTGTGTGTGTGAGAGAGAGAATACTAAGAATGTGTGTGTGTGAGAGAGAGAATACTAAGAATGTGTGTGTGTGTAAGAGAGAGAGAGAATGCTAAGAATGTGTGTGTGAGAGAGAGAGAGAGAGAGAATGCTAAGAATGTGTGTGTGTGCTATTTTTGTGCAAAATCTGAAAAATATTTTTTTTCTGACCTTCTTGTTTTTCTGTCCCCTTATGATGGCCATGAATTTTTTGTATGGAAGTAAGGGGGTAAATGGAGAAATACATCAAGCCGAGGGGGTTAATGATGGAGGAAAAGTTGAGAATCCCTGCTCTAAGCTGTTTTCTTGTTGTAGTAGTGTCTAATAAACGGTTTCATTGTTACATCTGATAAACCGAAAACTTTTTAAATGGGAAACCGGATCTGTTCTTCATTATGAAGCATGACGAACACAAGTCAGTTAACTAAATAATACTTGTTTCTACATTTACTAAATAACTCAAACAAAAATCATAATTAACGGAAAAAAGAGACAAGTTTTCAAAAAGATAATAAAAGTAATAGCATATCTCTCCTATATAAACTTTAAACATGTGAGTCTTTCTTGTCTTTTCTATTAACTCAATAATATTTTAATTATAAATTTATGACAACAGAGTCATAACAATGAGCAAACATAAAGTGTTTGATTTCTTCATTGTGTAGTAAAAACACAGATCACTTGGATAGACATTTTAAAACCATTGTATTCTTAACAAATGCTATTTTGTAGAATTCTTTATAATACATAAATGTTAATGTTAAGTGATTCATTCTCGTAAAAATATTCCTAAATGTAGGAACATCTTAGAGAAATGACAGTGAAGTCATCAGATGAGCAAAACATTATGGTAAAGAAAACCTGATACCAGTGACATAATTAAAGTAAACTGAAGGATTACAGACATAACCTAGTTTTACAGCAAAATCTAGTTCTTTGTAAAATCTAATCTGATTCATTTCGTTTTTTATTACAAGGCTAAAACTTAGCAAGTAAAAATGATAAGAGTCTTAGTTATTAAAATCAGCACTACTTCTTTATATATGCAGATATCGGTTTAAAGATGCATGAACGAAACATTTCAAGTTAGGCCTAGATAACACTGCTAAAATATTAACCTAATTCTTAAAAGGTAGTTTTACTGATTTCTCTCTAGTAAGTAACATATTTTCTTCTTCAGCATATTATGTTTAATAGTAGTACCACGAGTCTGAATGTTAAAATAAGATATTTCTTAGTTTGTTCAATCATTACTGGTAAACATCACCGAAAGAACAATAAAGAATTTCTATTGAAGTATAGCAGAAGGAAGGAAAAACTACAACCTATCATAATACTACAGAAAGAAGGAAAACTACAACCTATTATGATACTACAGAAGGAAGGAAAAACTACAACCTATCATAATACTACAGAAAGAAGGAAAACTACAACCTATTATGATACTACAGAAGGAAGGAAAAACTACAACCTATTATAATACTACAGAAAGAAGGAAAACTACAACCTATTATGATACTACAGAAGGAAGGAAAAACTACAA